CATTGTATTTTTACTATAAAGAATCTATTCGACAAACATGTTTTTGAGCTTCTAAGCACCCACGCTCCTAACGTCACAATCAGTGATCATAATTTTTTTTCTCAATATAAAATCTACCAGCGTGAACACCATTACAAAGGATTTGAATCACGGTACGTTGACTTTCAGAACGTTCCTTTTATTTTTTTTTATTTTACCATGGTTACAAGCCCTGCCGTATAAAATATTGTATTCACCTACGATACTGTGATATGCAGAGTGTGCCAGTCCGTATATTATGGTATGACTAATGGCAGTGGCGTAATGAGCAAAAACGTTTGGGGGGGGGGGCTGACAAAAAAATCCGCAGCACCCCACTATAACATGCAGGCCCCGCTGAACGTTTCGCAAAGTGGGGTCTGGGGCAAAGCCCCGGCGGGGATCAAGGGGCGGAGCCCCGAAGCTCAGGGGGTATGGGCATCAGTGGCGGATCCAGGAATTTCTTACCGGGGGGGGGGGCACAAAATGGCATGGGGTTTATTATATGTAAAACAATGAAGCGACAGAACGAGGCTCTAGCGGCGAGGGCGCGGAGCGCCCAAGCGGGGGTGGGTCTGGGAGGGGGTTGTGGCCCCCTACCAGAGTAAAAAGCATTTGTAATTTTAGAACCAAATTAGACGCATTTTCAGGCACTTCCTGGAGTAATATCACGTAAATTTGCTTTCTCCTACCATTTCCAAGAGTAGGGATCTTTTGCATTTTGAGAACCATATTTGGCGCATTAATGTCCATCGGCACTTCCTGGAAAAAAAAACGAGGTCTTCTGATTGTTTTCTACACCAACCTATACCAAATTCGTAACATCATCGGCTTAGCAGTACAAAATCGGCCTATAGGTTAGGGTATAAATATGTTACATAGCTTGAATGTCGTTGATATCTAATTACATTTCATAGAATTTATTAATAAGTACACAGATCGGGAATGTTATGTACCGGGGACGGACGAATCTAATCTGATCATTTGAAGTGTCAACAACTGAAGTATTGAAATACGGACCCGTGTGTTTTTCACCAGCGAGGAATGTTTGTATCAAAGCGAAACGAAGTAATACCCAAATTTGGACATGCTTACACTTCAAATAGTTTTCCATTGTAGTTTTACTCTAAAGAATCTATTCGACAAACATGTTTTTGAGCTTCTAAGCACTCACGCTCCTCAGGTCACAATCAGTGATCATAAAAGGATTTCAATCAAGGTACGTTTCCATTCAGAACGTTCCTTTCAAATGTGTTTTTCATTTTTTTTCTTTTACCCTTGTTACAAGGCCAGCCGTATGAAATATCTTATTCACTATAATATGGTATGACTAATGGGGATCGGACCTAGATTTTTGTGGTTTCCAGACAAAGTCACTCTTTTGTCTCTCTCTCTCTCTCTCTCTCTCTTTGTGTTAAAGGTAAAGACCAGTTATGGTCATGCGATTGCATTACATACATACATACATATTGGTATTTATTGAGCGCCTTTACATGAACATGCTCAAGGCGCTTTACATTTTAAAATACAAACATAATAGTTATATACTCTCCAAATGCATTACACTCTAAAAAAATGACAATTACAAAGAAAACAAATGAGTTTTTAAATGTTTCTTAAATAATGCGACTGAGGTGCAAGAACGAATGCTTAAAGGGAGACTATTCCAAATAGTGGGACCAGAAAAAAAATTATATTTTGTTGACCCTTCTTCGAATTGATGCGGGGGATTTGCAGAAGAAGGGGGTCTGACCTTGAACGTAATGGATATCTTGATTGCTGGATGGGACAAAACAGACTAGAAATATAGGATGGGATAAGGTTATACATGGATTTATAAACAAATAGTGAAACTTTATACATTATTGCATTGTGAAAGAAACGTTGTGGAATCGATCAGAAAAGGTTGATCATCTATCATCTAGCATCTGCAAGGTTCTGGAATTATCAAAATGATAAGAAATTTGGCCCATTCTTCGTAAAGTTACAAGCACTATACACAGAAAGATCTATATGGGACTACCCTATATCTCTCACAGTTCATGAGAGAAAAAAATTTACCAAATATATGAATTAGTAGGCGGTTTCCCGGCAAATTTTGTATCATCATGTATTAATCAAAACATATTCTTTAACATGATTGGTAATGAGAGTTTCCATTTCATTTTTTGAAATTGGGGCGTTTCCAATACTGGTCTTTACCTTTAAAAATCCCGGGTCCTTTACATGTGTAAACCCATATCGTTTACATAATATAAACAAAAAAGAACAACAAAACCCTACACACACATATAAGTTTCATAACACAATCTTTTGAATCAAGAGAACTTTTAGAGAAGAACATTTGTTAGGTTGCGATCAAGTTTACTTGTAGAATTGTCCAATGTCGGGTGATGATTTTGTCTTCAACTTAAACGGAGTGTAGCATGACGAGACTATGTTTCTTTCCGTAGCCCTACTCGGGGCCAATCGGGTATATTACGACTGCGGACGACGCGACCACAGCAATCACGTTCGTGCAACATACGCGAAACCGAAGCGTGAGGAGAACTTCGGTCTGTTTCGCGAACGCTAGCGCGCGTTGACCAAGTAGAGATTACGTCGCTGACTACCGTTAGTCAAGTCCATTCGTTTACGTGCAGTTGCTAAAAAGAAGACGTAGATGGCGTTAACCAGTATTTGCCATGCTACACTCCCTTTAACATAGAGAGCCTCCTCCCTACATGATGTAATAATGACATAACCGCTATCGTTACAGAAAATCCTTTGTACCGAATGTTATTCAAATGTTTAATGCTAATGTTAGACGATAAACTTGACCCTGTTGATGACGAATCGACCCTTTGACAGTCTCTTAATTGCCAGCTGTTTTATATAATTGCCTTGTAATCCATCCTGCTGAATCTTGCCTTTGTTCTGTTACGCATAATCAGGATCATAAAGCCGTTTTTTTTTTAATGTGGCACATAATGGACAAGTTTCGTAATGTGTTCGGGTTGGGTGTGTGGGTCTTGTCGGGGTGCCTGGATGCGGGTGGCTCCATTCACCTGTTGTTGGGAGTGGTTGTGTTTCGGTGGGTGGGGTGTGGGTTGCGTGAATTAGTTGTTGCTAGGTTGGGCATGCTCTTATGTATTGCCAGCCTGGTAGCGGCTTTCATGTGCAATTCGCATTCTGTTTGTTGGGATACAATTGTTCTAGCTGGCGGGTGGATGGAGTCAGTCGTGTCCGGGCGTTTCTCGGAGACCTGTGCATCCGACGTGAACACGTTGCGAGACTGGTCTATCACTTTTCTAATACACAGTAAACATTTTATCTACATGTGTCGTTTACAACTTGTCTCCCTTCCTTTTCCTATTATTTCCCCTTCCCTCCATTTCCATCCTCTCCTCTCCTTTCCTTCCTCCACCGTGTCCACCTTTCGTTCCTTTCTCTCTCTCTCTCTCTCCCTTTCTCTCTCTCTTTCTCTCCTTACTATTTTGCTCTTCAATCTAGTCTCCTTTCGACCCCTTTCTCTCTTCTCTATCTTTAAATGTCGACTCTTTTCTTAAGTTGTTCATATTATTACGTAATACATGTACTGTATATTTTATGCTTTTGTTTTCAAATATCATGACTCGTGTGAATTTATGTACATTTATGTGACGTATACACCTATGTGTTTATCAATTATCTTGTAACTACATTGGATTTTTTTTATGTGCTGCCAGTGGATGCCAATTTTCTATGTTTTGAATAAGGATCAATGAAGAATCTATCTATCTATCTAATAATTTAATACAATGTATAACTACTATGATGAAACGAAACTCGAATGTAAAAAAATCAAATCATAATTAAATAGTGACTGGGAAACCAAAGCCTGGCATACCCTTAAACACCCCCCCCCCCCCCAAAAAAAAAAAAAAAAAAAAAAAGAAAATCGTCATTTCTGTTTGGGATCAGACTAAAGTTTCCACTTCCCAGGCCACTTTATCACATGGTATTATTTGCATCACAATGCCCATCAGTACCCGCTCACTGAGCGAGAGATAAATGTATTTTTTTGTTCGATTGGCTACCCATAGGAAAGTGAAAAGTATGCCGCAGACCTGCCGCAGAAAGAAATTTAGCTGCAGACTTGCCGCATACCAGTATGCCACAGGAACAGTCTGCGGCAGATGTGCGACGTGATGAAACTTTGCTCCAGACTTGCCGCATACTAGTATGCCACAGGAATAGTCTGTGGCAGGTCTGCGACGTGATGAAACTTTGCTCCAGACTTGCCGCATACTAGTATGCCACAGGAATAGTCTGTGGCAGGTCTGCGGTAGGGTGAAACTTTGCTCCAGACTTGCAGCATATCAGTATGCCGCAGGAACAGTCTGCGGCAGATCTGCGGCAGGATGAAACTTTGCTCCAGATTTGCTGCATATCAGTATGCCGCAGGAACAGTCTGCGGCAGATCTGCGGCAGTATGAAACTTTGCTCCAGACTTGCCGCATACCAGTATGCCACAGGAAAAGTCTGCGGCAGGTCTGCCACAGAAAAGTGGGAAATTATACAGTCTACAGCAAGGCTATAGGCGGCCATTTTGGAGGACCATGCAGGGCCATGAGGTTGCAGGCTGAGCCCATGATCTTGTAAATTCCTGTGTTAGAACTGTTAATTGTCTTTTTAGCTTCTGTCAAACCAAACAATTTGCTTCAAGTTCTAACTGGTACCATAAGAGGAATAAGTTACATAAGAGGAGACTGAGGAATTAACGGGCTGTTTCAAACTTTTTTGTTGTGCCATATGTGGGTCAACCACACTATCGCGATTAAGAAGCTTATTGATCTTGGTGCCCGCCATTCGATTCTTCCTTGGATCTGCAATTTTCTGACCGACCGCCAAGCTTTGTTCGTTACCATGGTTCACTTTCGCCCTGGAAGAAGATTCATGCTGGCGTCCCACAAGGCACACGCCTAGGTCCTGTTGTATTCTTGGCCCTTATTGATGATGTAATGCGTGATTCTTCATCAGCGAGTCATTGGAAGTACGTCGACGACATGTCCATTGCCGCCTCGCACGATGCACGCTACAAGCCACGTGATATCTCCCGTTCACTATCCACTCTAGAAGATTGGTGCCAGAACAATTACGTTATAAAACTCAACACCAAGAAGTGTTCAATCATGCGATTGTCCTTCAGTAAAGTCCAACTACCCCCACTAGGAGTACTTATTGATAATGTCCCCCTGAACGAGGTTAGCAGTGTGAAAATCATTGGAGTAACCATTGAAGACACCTTGAAGTGGAATGTACAGGTTTCGGATACGGTTTCTCGTGCTAACCGTCGCATTTTCATGTTAAGATCCCTGAAAGCCTTCTATCCCCCCACCAATGACCTTGTTACAGTTTACATAGGATTTGTAAGACCACTCCTCGAATATGCCTGCCCTGCCTGGAACGTAGCATTGACTATCGCCCAGTCCAACAAGATCGAAAATGTTCAAAAACTAGGTAGATATTACATATCCTATTCAAATGCCCTATCAATGACCAAGCTTCAAACTCTCCATGCTCGCCGAGAAGAGCTATGTCTCAAGTTTGCCCTGAAAACACTAAAATCCGACCAATCAGACTGGTTTAAACTAAACGCCAGCACAAGAAACACTGTAAGAAATATCTGTATAGAGCCTAAGTCCAAAACAGAACGTTACAGGAAAAGCCCAGTCCCATATCTCACCAGGTTACTCAACAACGCAAAAATTCCCCTGATTCCTGCCCGATTCCACACCTCTTATTTAAATAGTTTGCCTTTTGTTGCTTTTAATACAGCTCAACTTTATACCCATCAACTCATAAAGATTAGTGCATGTAATCCACATTGTAATGAATGGATACACTTGTGTTTTTAACTGTCAAACTGATTAATTAGTGAATATCTCTCTTATAGGTACGCACGTTCCCATGTACATTCTATGTCTTTACATATTTAAAGTTTTTACGCATATATTCTGCTATTATCTTAGTAATGCATATTTGGTAAATTGTACTGTTTTTCTCTGTAAGGGAAACTTTGTAATTTACTTTGTAATTTCTTTCTAATCGCCTTTTCCTTGTCGTCTTACTTTCATCATCATTCCGCTTTTCCATGTCTTCACAGTTCCAACTGTGCCATTCTTCTCATTCCACTCCCTCCCTATCTCTCTCTCCCTCTCCCATCTTCCGCATGTCTTCCTGTTTTTCTTTCTAACTTAACTCTCTCTCTCTACATCGTTCTCTCTCTAACCTTTTCTCTCCCTTTCGGTAATTCTTTAATCATGTTTCTATGATAAATCCTTATATATTGTGTAGCTTTATAGACATTCAATGTGCATTACGGTTCGAAATTAAACAAATCTTTAGTACTTACTTGTTTTAACTCCATTAATCAGCCTCAATTTATATTTAAAATATGAATATTCCTCACTTAACAATGATTACAGAAAAGAAAAAAAACGCCGAATCTATTTTATTTGTTTCATCAATTTGTTTGCAAGTAGGGAATATGTAATTAGTTATGATCTATCCGACTGTGTATTATGTGTACTTGTCCATATCTAAGTTTGTTGAAATGATTTTTAATACATGTAAAACTTGCAATGTAATTTAGCTTTCGGGCTACCATTTTGAAGTTGTCTAATAAAAAAAACCATTCTACTACTCTACTACTACTTATCTTCAGCCCCACTAACTCACTTTTTTTGTTGTAACTAGCACATGGATCTGTGACTCTACTCTGGACTATGTGTATTCAGTTATTGTATTCCTATTCCTCTACCTCTACTTCTGCTTTGTGTTAAACCAATATTTGTAGAATTGTTGAAGCAATTACGCCTGTTTTAGCTGTTTCTACTAATTCAAGGTGCTAGAATGTAATGATCGCAATGCATGCTCTCCAGCATAGCCTTCCTGGAAGACTGCATACTTAATTGCCACGTATATGGATATGAAAGAGTATGCGGCAGGTCTGCAGCAGGTCTATATGAGATATGAATATTCATGATGAAGAGTCTGCGGCAGGTCTGCAGCAGACTCTTTGTTATAGCCTTTTCTATGAATATCCATGATAAAGAGTATGCGGCAGACCTGCCGCAGACTCTTCATCATACTGAAAGAGTATGCGGCAAGTCTGCGGCAAGTCTGCGGCAAAACTAATTTGCATGTGAAAAAGATGACTGTCTGCGGCAGGTCTGCTGCAGATCTGCGGCAAGTCTGCCGCAGGAGTATGCGGCAGGCTCTAGTTATTCGTATTTTCCTCTGACTGGTTTCTTTTTTAGACCTCGTGATCAAACCGACTTGCATTGGGTACCTGCTCTATATGCCACGTCGACAGACAGTGAAATACAGACTCGCGCGTCCTATATCTTTCATTTCATACGGGTTATATGTCACTATTACATGACAATCTGATGGAACGAAGCACATTTGTGCGAAGGGAATCTGCATTAGATTGATTTCTAGATCATTTTCTTCGATACACTGCATGTTTTGGCATCTGTCAACCAGATTCATGACCCAGAGACAAACTCTATCTCCTCTTATCTTGCGAAAGAGACATTGTAAACGCCTTTATGATAAACACGTTCTAGAAAAGACCTCTCATGTCAATTGTTGCCAGTTACTTTTATTTGAACTGTGTAAGATTGTGTGTTAATCCTTTTAGCTCGGCTGTAATTGGATAAATATTTCTAAGGAGAGGACTCGACGCCTCATTCCACGATTCATTTTGCATTTAACAGGATCTAGACAAACAGTGAGTATAATATCATTTTTAACTTTAAATTGTGTTGATCCAAGCCCTAGCCACTATATAAGCTTATCGGAATAGAATCACATACAATCCATGTTTATATTGCATAAACCCTAATCCTTAGTAAATATCATAAACAATTTGACTAAATGTTATTAGTATACCCACATTAGCATGTCTTAAAGGTATAGACCAGTTTTGGAAACGCCCCCTCTCAAAAATGAAATGGAAGCTCTTATTACCAATCATGTGAAAGAAAATGTTTTGACTAATACGTGATGATACAAATTTTGCCGGGAAACCGCCTACTAATTGATATATTTGGTAAATTATCATATCGATCCGGACTTGATAGATATCGCGATTGCGTATATAGTCCCATATATACATCTTTCTGTGTACAGTGCTTGTAACTTTACCAAGACTGGGCCAAATTTCTGATCATTTTGATGATTCCAAAACCTTGCAGTACACACCAATACTTATATGCTAGATGATCAACCTTTTCTGATCGATTCCACGTTTCTTTCAAAATGCTATCGCATGATCAGAACTGGTCTATATTAAGTTTAAGTTTAAGTCTATACCTGAGCAAGGATAAGGCATTGTGGCTCTGGTAACGTATGGAACATCATCTTGTTCGAAGCGGTTCCCCCCCCCCCCCCGAAATCTCCGGTAGGATAAAATTTGTTGTTGCTGTTGTTGATGATCATGGTGATCTCTCGACGTTAGAGAACAGTTTCAACATCCGGGCAATGTTGGGCAATTTGCATAAGTTGCATAAACTTTTGAGCCAAATGTTCCATGATGATGCATGATAGCTGTATTTCCAGCCTCTGAAGGGAGTAGGATTCACTTCTGATGTTTATCTGGTTCTTTAATGTCATGTCTATAAGTTCTATAGGTCAAGTAAAGATTGGAATAGTTATCTTGGAATATTGACAATGGATACTATATTAGGCCTAAATAGAAATCTTTATTCGTTAATTCGTTTATTTATCATGTGTTCCATATAGAGGGTGGTCTCTTCAGTACATACAAACTGTTCTGCAAGAGAGCCCTGTATAACTTAATACAATTACAATGCAATGTAAAACAAGAAAAAATCAACAAAAAACAAATTGTTTGAATAGTACGTAACAAAACAAAACAAGAACAAAATAAAGATTAACATTTGAAACTCTTTTTGAATTTTTTTTAAATCAAATTTAAAATAAATAATTCTGTAGGAATGTACATTTATTGAAAGCAATAAAACACCACAGAGAGTTAAAGTGAAAAATCAGAATCTTGAATTGTTCCCCAAAAGTGTGAAAATCACTTATCAAGATAAAAAAAAAAGTGTGAAAATAACGACCATTAGTTGTCAAATCGATTTATTGCAATCACCTACTAATAGTCTGATTTTCAGACACTTTTACCGAATAGTCATATGTTTTGTGCTGCACTAAGATTTGATCAGTTTCATTTTTGCCATTACAAGTAGTGGGTTATTGATGTAAACTAATGCGCATGTACCTGTAACACAGCTCATTTTATGTATGTTATTACCAAAGAAAAAAAGATGTCAGTCAGTCACTCAATAGTGTCTGACAGTGAAGTCTTTAAGTTTAATGGGTTTCCTTGCAAAATTTGAATACTAGGACACTTCTAATGTTTCAATTTCACAGATAGGATATACATGACATATTCGTAATTCCTGCAAAGTTCTACAGAATTTGATGTTGGCTGCAAAAGGGACATAGTATCTTTAACAGTGGTTAACTTCTTCAAATTACCGTTTTAAATCAACTGTCCGGATGTAATGTGCACATTGCTTCTATGTTAATTATTGTTTTGTCTTTCTTTTTCTAAGAAAGATAGTGTAATATTTCAACAGTTTCTTGCACTTAATGTAAAGATGAGTTATTTTTCCCCCTTCGTATAAAATTTGATTATAATATTCAATACGGAATAAGGTATGGCAACACCCCAGGCATTAAGCTTATAAATATTGCCATACATCTGTGTATTCAGTGGCGGATCCAGGGGGCCCGTGCCCCCCCCCCCCCCCTGGCAAAAAAAGAGAAGGGAAACAAAAGAAGGGGAAAAAAAAAGGGGGGAAAGATATTAAAGCAGGCGCGTAGCCAGGGGTGGTGGGGGAGGTCACCCCCCCCCCCCACCCCCCAAAAACGCCGGCCAAAAAAAAAAGAGAGAAAGAAGAAAGGGAGAGGACGTAGGAAGAAAAAGGATTAAGAGCATATGGAAACGTTTGTTTGTATTTGTCTCATAAAAGAAATTGATCACAAACTGACTCCCACACGATGTTGAGTGCTTCGGGGTCACAGGCCACTGGCTTCATCGGGCAGGTAGTTCCATTATGTGAATGGGTAATTTAACTATTACAAAATGAGGGGACACATTACATTGTACAATAGGGACACACAGTGTTTTTATTGTGCAGAACATACTCTTTTATTGACTTACTTATTGCATGAAACTATAAAACCAAAATGCATTTTGTATTCTAACAATTGGAGTACAAAGAATAATAACAGGTGAATGAAATGCATAAACACCACAAACACCTGGGGAGGAAGCATTCATAAATTTGAATACATATAGTTGATAAACGACTCCGATGAAACTATAAAACCAAAATGAAAATAGCGTTCTGGCAGTTGGAGTACAAAGAATGATAGCAGTTGAATGAAATGCTTCAACAGCAACACAAACACCTGGGAAGCTAGGAACCATCCATAAATTTGAATAGTTTAGTAACTGCATGTGGACGTTTGTTGGAGCAGAAAGCAGTGGATTCTTAACAACACGAACCCATTTAACAGAATGTCGGAACGTAAATTAAATTTGGCGCGGTTGGAAAATGCATCTTTCTACCCC